AACTAATCGGGTACCCTGAAAACTTCAATTTTGTAACCCGGGCCTGACTCTGCCGGATAATTTTTTTTAGAAAATTGTCCTGTTTTTTTATGTCCGGGTCGGCAGGTCGAGTAGTTTTGCACACCCCTAACGTTATCAGTCTGTTCAGTTTTAGTCTCTTACTCCCTTTGTCGTTAACTTCCGTTAACCCTTTCACGGAAGTGTTATGTGATAATTAAACAACTAAAAAATTTCACGAAAGAAAAAAACACGTGAATTTTTTAATTGTCAAGTAACACATTTTATTCTTTTAGTTATCAAGTAACATTTCCGTTAAAGAGTTAACTCCAGTTAAAAACTGATAGACTAAAATTAAACGAATCGATAATATAAGAGATCAAATTCACTCTTTTTTTTAACCGGTGATCAAATCCGGTCAGACCGAAAACATAAGAAATATAAGTATAGTATAGACTTAATTCTTTAACATATCATCAATCTAATTGGTTAGGTCATCGATTTTTTATTCAAAGTTGTTCGAATCATTAAATTTGACCCTAGAGTAAATGTCGAGTTATATAATATACATAGATTTAAATTTCAAATTTTATAAAATAAAATTATTAACATTCTAAATTCTATATAATAAAAATAATATAGAGATCACTTAATTATGCTTAAAAAATTGTTTCAGTCATTACTTTAAAAATTATAAAATAATAATTAAATTCATCGAATTGTTATAAAATGATCATTGAATTTAATCAAACTATTAAAAACGGTTATTAGATTTATTAAAATTTTACAATTATTATGATAATTGGAGTGATCATTTTACAATAACTTGATAAATTGAAGGACTGTTTTATAGCTTTTGAATATCAAATGACCAAAATAATTACTTGATCATAATTAATGACCTTTAGTGTGCTTCGCCCTAAAATAATAGGGTAAATTACACTCATGATCATTTAACTACAGGGAGATTCTAATCTGACTATCGATCTTTTAATTTTATCAACCAAATCACTTAACTATTTGGATGAGATGAACCAAACCACTTGTCATTAACATTGGAAAGAGCTCACACAATTAAAAAAGATTGATATAACTACACTCTGATTCTTATTATTTACATGTTTTTATCAATTTTGACCCTAAATTTAATTTAATAAAATTAATCATCTCTAGAATTTATTAAATTAAATAAATTAACATTAATAAAAAATATTCAACCAGATAGTGACACGTGTCATTATCATATCAAAGAATTGAATATATTGAATTGAACTAAGATTATGATTAAATCAATAGAATCTATAAGTAATAAGGACCAAATGTATAATTATACTAATTTTACTAATTATCATTCCAACTTCGTCAAATGCGTCAAATATTAACAGTAGATACCTTGATTAGTATCGTTTAAATAATTAAGTAATATGATTAACAAAATTAAAAGATTAATGGTCATATTATAATCCTCTCATAATTAAGTAGTTTGATTGATAAAATTAAAAAAATAACTGTTAAATTATAATCCTCTTGTAATTAAGTGATCATGAGTAAATTTTACCTAAAATAAATATACAAAAAGTATCCAATCTATTCCTATTTTTCCAGTTTAGTGTTTAACGTTTATTTCGTTCCAGTTTGGTGCCCAACGTTTCATTCTGTTACTCAAAATGAGTTAAGACGTGACAGACCGTTAAATTTGGTCGTTAAGTGACACATGTCACAACCTGCTGATTTTTAAAAATTTATTTAAAATTAAAAAAATTAAATTATATATATATATATTAAAAGGAAAACACAAATTTTGAAATAAACCCAAAACTTTAAAACCTTCATTTCAATCTCTAAACTCACACCGACTGTTGCCTTTTGTCGTCGACGAAGTTCCACCCGACCTTCCTTCCCCTCGACAACCAAAACCCCCATAAAATCGTGATCGATCGACGGTCGATCAACTGTCGGAATCGTGTGGGATCATGATTTTCATCCTAGGGTTCGCGGGGTATAAAAAGTTGATTCGTCATCGATCGGTCACGATTTCATGGTGGTTTTGGTCGTCGAGGGGGAGGGGAGGTCTTGTGGAGCTTCGTCGACTGCAAAAGACTGCGGTCGGCGTGGGTTTAGGGGTTGAAATAAAAGTTTTCAAAGATTTGGATTTATTTCAAAATTTGCGTTTTCTATATATATATATATATATATATATATATATATAATTTTAATTTTTCAATTTTAAATAAAATTTTAAAACTATCATGTTGTGACACGTGTCACTGAATGAGAAAATTAACGCCGTTGACAGTCTGGGAACATAAATGAGTAACGGAATAAAAAATTAGGTACCAAACTGAAACAAAATAACGTTAGACATTAAACTGAAAAACCGAACATAAATTAAACACCTTTTATATATTTAATATAAATAATACGAAGTTATTTTTATACAACTCTATCACAGACCATCAACAACAAATCCAAAACCGAATAACAACCCAAATTTAAGGGTTTACCATTCAAAATCAATTATCTATAAATAAAACACTATAATATGAATTTTGTAAAAATCCCTAATTAAACATTGGCCCAAAGCTCAAATCAATCAAATTATAGCAAAAGAACAGAAAACGCTCATTGATTTTCACTATTTCTCTCTGTTTCTTTGTTTCTTTCGTTCGTTTTCTCGCTGCGAGAAAACGAAGAACAAAAATTTTGGGAAAAAAAGGGGGAAAAACTGTAAATTCCTATGTTTTTACCAAATCAAAGTACCCCATTTATTTAAATTCCAGTTGCTTGATTCTTCATTGACTCCCATGAATCAATTCTAGCAGCCATATCAGATCCTTTTGATCTATTGAAAAACCAAAGATTTTCCCCTATTTTTTTCCATCAGAATATGGTTAAGAAGTAGTAGCATTAAAAGAGCTTGCTTTTCCCTTTCTTCCACCGTGTCAACCACCGTCAACGCCGCCGTTAAAGCGGAGTATTCCCCAAATCTTGAATACCCATTTCTTCAAAACCCACAAATCATTCATACCCATTTCTTCAAAGCCTGGTACAATGTCTCATCTTGATGATATTCCGTCAACGCCGGGGAAATTCAAGATGGAGAAATCGCCGTTCATCCACGGCAGAATGCGGTGGCATTGGCAATCTTCACTAGCGAAGTTCTGTTTCTGGTCATTAATCTTCACCGGCGTGATTTTCATATTCTTCTTCCGATCTCCGTCGTCGAATCCGATCGCTCAAGACCCTTCTCGTCGCTCTCTCCGTACTTACAATTGGGGAGGACCCGTTTGGGAAAAACGGGTGCGTTCATCCGCCCGAGTCCGTTCTCATAACGGGTTCTCTGTTTTGGTCACCGGAGCCGCCGGTTTCGTCGGTACCCACGTCTCGGCCGCCTTGAAAAAGCGAGGCGACGGCGTTCTTGGACTCGATAATTTCAACGACTATTACGATCCTTCGTTGAAACGAGCACGGCAAGCGCTTTTGGAGCGCAGTGGGGTTTTCATCGTTGAAGGAGATATCAATGATTCGGCTCTATTAAGGAAGCTTTTCGAGGTCGTCGCCTTCACCCACGTTATGCATTTGGCTGCTCAAGCCGGCGTCAGGTACGCCATGGAAAACCCTGGCTCTTATGTGCATAGCAATATTGCTGGTTTCGTTAATTTGCTCGAAGTTTGCAAGTCGGCGAATCCGCAGCCGGCGATCGTGTGGGCGTCTTCGAGTTCGGTTTACGGACTTAATAGCAAAGTTCCATTCTCCGAAAGAGATCGGACTGATCAGCCTGCTAGTTTGTATGCTGCTACTAAGAAAGCTGGTGAAGAGATTGCTCACAGTTATAATCATATATATGGACTTTCTTTAACTGGTTTGAGGTTCTTCACGGTTTATGGTCCTTGGGGAAGGCCGGATATGGCGTATTTCTTCTTCACTAGGGACATTTTGAAAGGGAAGTCGATACCGATATTCAAGGCGGCTAATCACGGCACGGTGGCTCGGGATTTCACCTACATTGATGATATTGTTAAAGGGTGTCTAGCTGCATTGGATACTGCCAAGAAGAGTACCGGTAGCGGAGGGAAGAAAAAGGGTCCGGCTCAATTGAGAGTATACAATTTGGGGAATACTTCGCCGGTGCCTGTTACGGAGCTCGTGAGTATTCTCGAGAGGCTTTTGAAGGTTAAGGTAAAGAGGAACTTCATGAAGTTGCCACTGAACGGGGATGTTCAGTTTACGCACGCCAATATTAGCTTGGCTCAAAGGGAGCTCGGATATAAGCCCACGACCGATTTGCATGCCGGGTTGAAGAAGTTCGTGAGGTGGTATCTCGGTTTCTATTCCGACGGGAAGAAAGCTGCCGAATAACTCTCGTCCTCCGTATCGCGGTAGGATCGAATCCTCTGAATTATTGTTCATTATTATACGTAATAATTTGCTTAATTATCGATATTCGACATTATCTATAAAGATTGTTGTATAAGGAGGTACATTATTGTCCTGCTTTGAAGTTTTTTAATCAGTGGGCATTGTTTGCCATCCCGGTAAACACTGTATCAAAAGAATAATTGAACGATCTTTTGCCTTTCCCCCTGGAATGTAATTGTTGTAGTTTCTGGCCTTGGAGAAAACAAGACCATATGCTGATTGATGGACCTGTATCATTGTTATGCAATTTCAATAAAAATAGCACATAAATTATATCTTCTTTCTCTAGCAGATAAGTAACTTTGTTCGATTTGTTGAACTTAATAAGAAATATGTTACGATTCGTGTCATATGTTTGTTCGAGCCAAGTTCGAGCTCGAGCTTTCTTAAGCATTCAGTGGGATTGTTTGTGTTACGTTTGTTCGAGGCGAGTTCAAATTCAAGCTCGAGCTTTTTCAAGCATTCAGTTCGACGGTTTGAGTGTTATGTTTGTTCCAGGCAAGTTCCAGCTTGAGCTCGAACTTTTTTAAACATTCAGTTCGACGCGATACACCCTTAATTCCAAGTAAAGCCAATTCAATGTATGATTGAAAACACCAAAAGCATTTCAAATTGAACCAAAAATGTAAAGATGGATAATTGTGACACACTAAACATGATCTTTTCCCTCTCAAGTATTCTCAATTTCAGACATAAATGAACTAGTTCATTAAAAACACATTGATACCAAAAGTTTAGCCCTGCATATCCAAAGCACCTGGAAGATGGTTCAACTGTGAGCTCTAAGCCACAAGAGTGCTGGCGGTGGTCGATTCACTGCATGAAGAAAAATATGTCAAGATTGCAAGTAAAAAACCAGAATCTTCAGACAGGAGAATGCTAGAATAACCACTGCTGGGGTCGACAACATTTTCCGAAAGAGCATTACTCCAAACCATTGCCTAAACACCAATTTACAATGACTGACACTTCTGTCCGGCACATAACCGGATATGGGTACAAAATAAAGATTTGTGAATGATACACGCATCAAACACTTGCTCCGGCTCCAACAAACTAAACTATCAAGTACAAAATATGTTAAGAACATCAACGGGAAGCAGGGATACAAAAACTTACTATTTCCACACTGGTGGAAGCTTCTTTGTCTTCTTGTAATAGCGGGCGAGACGGTGAATTCTGCTCTCGACCAAGATTAACCTAAACTTGGAATCCTTGTCCTTCCTGTTCCGCTCGAGATGCTTTCTGATGGCAACAGCTTTCTTAATCAGGTGGTAGAGATCCTCGGGAATCTCAGGAGCAAGGCCTGACAAAATCAAATCGATAAGTTGAATGTTTAACGTCAAATACGAAGGCAAATGCAACGGCGGAAAAAGTCAATAAGGTGTACCATGAGCTTTCAGTATCCTCAAAATCTTGCCGCCGGTAACACTCTTAACCTGAGCAATCCCATGCGAGTCTCGGAGGATGACACCGATCTGAGATGGGGTCAAACCCTTCTTTGCAAACTTGCAAATGTTCTCCTCAACCTAAAATATGAAATCAATTTTAATGAATATTGCCAACAAAAAATATGGCAAATCTTTTATATAGACTTAATAAACTAACAAAATTAGGTTTTTCATCTCCCCATCACATGACTGTAAACCTCTGTTACGAGTTCCGGGTAAGTATCGATGTGGGTATGTTGTATGCACCATTTTTTCAAGATTTTTCCATGTATATATCTGAAGGATGCCATACCCTCGCACACATGGCCAAATGTGTCGAACATATGAATATTTCAAGGAAGATGAAGGTTCGGATTAAATATAATATAGGCTAAAGTACACATTTAGTACCTAAACTCACTTTTGGTCTGTTTTAGTACCTAAACTTTCAATTTTTTCAAAACATACCTAATGTTTACTTTCTGCTTCATTTTGGTACCCACCGTTAAAAAATTAGGTACTTAAATGAAACAAAAAGTACATGTTAGGTATGATTTTGAAAAATTGAAAGTTTAGGTACTAAAACAGAACAAAAATTATAATTTAGGTAATAAACATGTAATTCATCCTATAATGTAAATTCAAAAAATTAGAGTATCACAAATGGCAAATTATATGAAATAGTCCAAGCCTTTGAGGAAGATCAATGAACTACAACAATCTCACAACACTTCATTAGTAAAAGTAAGGTTAAATTTACTAGTGCATAACAACCCGAAGATAGCCAGGTTAAATTTACTCAAAAAGAAATAGTTTTAATGAGCAAAAAGTACATCAAACAAGAACCAGGGACTACTTTTATTCCACATTTGAAAATGCAAAAAAAAAAAAACAAAACATAACTAAACCATATAGCCATGTTTAACACACTCGAAAAAAACCAAAATTTTCAACTCAACTTGACTTGAAAAAATTTTCAAATAAATTTTGAATTATAAAATAAAACTTAATAAATCAAATAAATCAAAATTTTTAGTGATTAGTAGATTAGTTTTCAAATTCAAGTTACTCAAATTTGATATTGCATATGAAAATATATATACGAATATCATATATATAGCTATAGAAAATTGTTTAAAATGAAATCAATTAATATCACAACATCATACATTTTTACAATTAAATCTAGGGTAAAATACAAATTTAGTACCTAAACTATCAGTTTTAGTTCGTTTTAATACCTAACCTTTCATTTTTTTTTAAATCATACCTAACAATTTGTTTTGTTTCATTTTTGTATCCACCCTTAAAAACTTAAGGTGTTTAGAAACTAAACTTTCATTTTTTTTTCAAAATTAAGGTTAAGTTTTTAATGGATACTAAAATAAAACAAAAATTGATTGTTAAAAAATTGAAAGTTCAGGGATTAAAACGGACCAAAACTAATAATTTAAGTACTAAATGCATAATTTAACAGAAACTCAAATAACTCGACTCTCCGTCGAATACTCACCCTACTTATTAGTATCCAATATCACAGCCGAGTCCGAGAAAACATAGAATGAACGTACTATCAAACTCAAAAGGTAATCATCGAGAAATTTTCCGCATAGCCTTCATTTTCACAAACATAACATTATTCAATTAATGGAACTACGAATAATTACAAAAAATATCAAGCTCGTTTCAACCACTAATCAAACTCATATGGTTAAAACAAGTAGTGACTCACATCTTGAGAAGAGATCTTCAACCAACTAGGCGGGGTTCTCTTGTAAGGCAAAGCGGACGCTGAAATACCTTTCCTGCAAGAGAAAAATTTCAAATCAATGACGAAAGCGGATAGAAGAGATTCGATCGATGAAATCGTGAGGTTGTTTTCAGGTGATAATGAATCGAGTTTTTTTGGAGGAAATACGAACCCTCGGCTGTGCATACGACCCATGGTGACAGTGTTTGGAACTCGGCTGCTTCCTTTGGTCACTCGTCTTCTTCTGCTGTTGCAATGAGCAGAGAAACCCTAGACTCAAAATGGAGGATGGGGATTAGGGTTCTTATTATCCCTTTTGTTCTCTGCTAGTTATTTATTTGGGCCTTCTTTTTTTCACCATTGGTGGTCTGGTTTTCAAGTATTGTTTCCCGTACACATTGGGCCAGAGCTTGCCAGTGAATTTTTGATAAAGTCATTTAAAATTTAGGGTTTTAATATTTAAACTATCAGTTTTAATTCATTTCAGTATCTAAACTTTCAAATTTTCAAAACTATACCTAACTTTTAGTTTTTTCGTTTTAGTACCCGTTCAATATTTAATGTTAAGTTTTGAATTTTTTTTGAAAGTTTAGATACTAAAACGGATCAAAACTAATAGTTTAGGTTTTAAAAATGCTAAGTTTTTTGATTGGGTATTAAAATGAAACAAAAACTAAACGCTAAGGTATGGTTTTGAAAAAACTGAAAGTTTAGGTACTAAATCGGATCAAAATTGATAGTTTATGTATTAACTGCTTAATTTACCTTAAAAAATTTAGATTTATTTTTGTGTAAAGTACACAAATGGTCTCTTGACTATACGATATTACTTTGTTGAATTCCCTTGGTAGCAAAAGTTACGAAATATTATTTTGTTGAGTCCCTTAACTATTAAAAGTTACAAAAGGATCAAACGACTATTCATATATTCCAAACTTGTTCTTTTCTGATTACATCTCCGGTTAAGATAACAAAATATAAAGGGTAAACTACACATTTAGTACCTAAGCTATCAGTTTTGGTATGTTTTAGTACCTAAATTTTCAATTTTTTTCAAAATCATATTTAACATTGATTTTTTGTTTCATTTTAGTACTCGTCGTTAAAAACTTAATGCATTTAGTATCTGAACTATCAGTTTTGGTATGTTTTTTACCTAAAATTTCAATTTATTTAAAAAAAACTTAACGTTAGATTTTAAACGGGTATTAAAATGAAACAAAAATAAAACTTTAGGTATGGTTTAGAAAAAAAATGAAAGTTTAGGTACTAAAATGACCAAATAGTTTAGGCACCAAACGTGTAATTTACCCAAATATATATTGGTAAGTCATCAAGCATTCCTCCTATGTTTGGTAGCGGTTCGATTCATTTCGGTGCATCTCAATGTTTAAGACTAGTGTTAACGGTGATGGAAAGGTGTGGGGATGATGCTCTTTAATGATCGATGTTACTTATCTATATTTTTGTCTTCACTGTTCGTTCTTTTCGGGAGCTTCTCATTAGTGTCTCTTTGACATTTGCAGTGCAGATAGATGTGTTATGGCATCCTCGGGATTTCAAGCCGATGTCAAAGCTTTACAAAAGCAACTGGCGGCTAGGCACTTGGTAAGGTTTCACCTTTGAAAGATATGCAGCAGCTAATGTTTATACATGTGTGTATATATATATATATATATATATAATGGTGCTTCTCAAAATACAGATTTATCAGCATCAGCACAAGAAGCAAATGAGCTGCCCTGCAATGGCTCAACTGCTGTCCAACACCCTTTATTACAAGCGCTTCTTTCCTTCTTTTAATGTTCTAGGCGGCCTAGATAATGAAGGTATTCTGCTTTGATCTTAAACCACTAGGAAAGGGTTGTGTGTTCGCATACGATGCCGTCGGTTCCTATGAGAAGGTTGGATACAGTTCCCAAGGGTCTGGTTCGATGCTCATCATGCCTTTCTTGGATAACCAACTGAAATCTTCCAGTCCTCTCCTATTGCCTGTCCAGGTATGGCTTCGAGTTCAATTATTTTTTTTGTCTCGTATCATCAAGACTTTGCATTTTTTTCATCTCAAGCCCATGGTCTTGCAGGATGCTGTTACTCCCCTTGTGGAAGCTGAAGCTGTGGATTTGGACATCCCATGTTGTGTATGTGCTCGTAACCTACACTCACACTTGAGTTCAAAGAACATAGCTGGAGCTATGGTGTTAGTATACTGCTATGTTTCAATGTCAAAACCAAGTCTGCTATTAATTTATTGCTCCCTTCTGTTTCCTTCTCGAGTTCGAATAACATGGAAAATATTCGCACTTCTTTTTCCCTTCTCGAGTTCAACTAACTTGGAAAAAGCTCGAATTTGATTAACATAGTATGATCCTCCGAAGATCCTTTAGATAGATGAAAAAACTCAGTCCGATTAGCATAGATCTTAAGTGCCTCGAAATATAGGTAAGTTCCCTTCTTAGTTGTTGTGATCTTGGCTCCTATGTTGACTCCTTTGACTTTCAAGACATGGAGTTTAATGAGGCAATCCGAGCCTTTTTGCAAGGTTTCAGATTGCCAAGTGAGGCACAAAAGATTGATCGAATCATGGAAAAGTTTGCTGAGCGTTATTGCAAATGTAACCCAAAGGCTTTCATCAGTGCCGATACAGCATATGTCCTTGCTTACTCCGTCATAATGCTCAATACTGATGCCCATAACCCTATGGTTAAGAACAAGGTGCATATACATTCTCTATCCGATCTTGTTTCCATTTAGTGCTTAAAAATTGATGTTCTCCCCTTTCCCTAAATTGAAATGTGCAGATGTCAGCTGATGATTTCATAATCGTGGCATAGATGATGGAAAAGATTTGCCAGAAGAGTACTTAAGATCATTATTTGAACGGATCTCAAGAAATGAGATCAAAATGAAAGACGATGATTTTTCTGTGCAACAGAAACAGTCAGTGAACTCCAACAGAAGTTTAGGTCTGGACAATATCTTGAATCTTGTTATACGCAAGTACGATGAAGACCGGCGTATGGAGACCAGTGACGATCTTATCAGGCACATGCAAGAACAATTTAAAGAGAAAGCTCGCAAATCCGAGTAAGACCGGCTTTTGAGCTTTTATGTTGCTGCTCTACTATGGAGAGGTTCCTGTTTGACTGTATATCACTGAACCATCTTACTAGTTCTTTTTCCCCCTTAAATCTTGTTATGGTGGCATTTAACATTTGAAATAGAAACTTTGTTTTTGATTTCCATTGTACTGTCATTTTGTAGGTCAGTTTATTATGCAGCCACAGATGTGGTGATTCTGAGATTCATGGTTGAGGCATGCTGGGCTCCTATGTTGGCTGCCTTCAGTGTGCCTCTAGACCAAAGCAATGATGAAGTAGTGACAGCTTTGTGTATTGAAGGCTTCCGCCGTGCAATACATGTCACTATTGTGATGTCCATGAAGACTCGTAGAGCGCATTTACGACTTCATTAGCTAAATATACATCACTTCACTCTCCTGCAGATATAAAGCAGAAAAATATCGATGCAATCAAGGTTAGTATTGTGCTTCTACGGTGAATATCTTGTTAGTGAGACCCGTTATTTGAACTCTGCGAAAATTTACTTTTGCTTGTGGACCTAACACACAATTTTCCTTGTATATTGTTAATGGGCAATAGTTACAATTGCAGATGAAGATGAAGATTATTTACAAGAAGCCTGGGAGCATATTTTGACATGCGTGTCACGGTTTGAGCATTTGCATCTCTTGCAAGAGGGTGCTCCTCTGGATGCCACTTTCTTTGCCTTCTCTCAGAATGAATCAGAAAACTCTAAGCAAGCTAAGTCCGCCGTCCTTCCTGTTTTAAAGTAGGATTCGGACGAATTCGGTATGCTTCTTCTGCAGTGACGAGGGGCTCGTATGACTGTGCTGGTATCGGAGGTACAAGTTGGACTCTCACATCTGAAGCGATGAACAATTTAGTCTCCAATCTCAACATGTTGGAACAAGTTGGAAGCGCTGAAATGAATCGTATATTCACACGTAGTCAAAAATTGAATAGCGAGGCAATCATAGACTTTGTGAAGGCTCTTTGCAAGGTGTCCATGGAGGAGTTGCGATCTACGTCCGACCCTCGGGTTTCCAGCCTTACAAAAATCGCTGAGATCGCGTAAGAATCAGTCCACTTTTCTTCCTTTGCCTTAATCTTAATGCAGTTAATTTGTTCTATGTTGCTTGACTCCAAATTGTTGATCTACTGACAGGCACTACAACATGAACCGGATCCGACTGGTATGGTCAAGCATCTGGCTTGTGCTCCCTGATTTTTTCTTGACCATTGGCTGTTTCGAAAGCCTTTCAATTGCAATCTTCGCGATGGACTCTTTACTGCAGCTATCAATGAAATTTTTGGAGCGAGAAGAGTTGGCTAATTACAATTTCCAGAATGAATTTATGAAGCCTTTTGTTATTGCCATGCAGAAGAGTAGTGCAGTCGAAATCCGAGAACTAACTGTAGACCCCAGAATTTTGTCCTCATCCCAGTGACCCAGCTCATCTAAGCTTGAATAACTTGCATTCAAAGTGCCGCTGCCCCAGAGCTTGTTTCCTACTAATGCCTATAGATGCATGTGAGGTATAATCTAAAGCATGATCACATTACAAATTGCTATTTTTTTTTATGTAAAAGCTATGCAAGAAAATGACTATAAAAAGCCGAATGAAAATGTGAGAAAAGAGGGAGTTCCTCTCGGTTTTTTAGCAAGGAACGAACAATAAAAATACAAAAAAAAAAAAAGAATTCTTCGGGAATCGAAAACAGAACCGGATTTGTTTCAAAGCGAAGAGGGGTTAGAGACTTACCGAGGTGGCGCGAGTTATGGCTCCACCGTGAGCGGCGATAAGTGTTGTGAGAGGAGGAAGAAAAGCTAAGAAAATGTCATCACACATAATGAAGATATAAAGGGGGAAAGGAAAGTGGTTCATAATTGTGGAAAGGAAAAAATGCTTTTATTTTAATTTTGGGTTAACCTCACATAGGGCCCTTTAATTTCTTGTCATCTTTTATGTTGGTCTCTTAAATTTTTGGATTATTTATGTTTAAGCCACTCTATTATCGCATTTTTTTAAAATTAGTCACCAAACTTGTGCGGTTAATTACGTTTAGGTCCCTATAATATTACCTTATTTTTACATTCTAGTCACCGAACCTCCACGTTTTATTTTATTTTATTTTAGGCGCTTTATTTTTGTTATTTTCAATTCGATCACCAATATATTATATTTTCTAATGATTTATACCTGTAGCTTTCGTTTCATTTATTTTAATCACTATTAGTT